GTTGCACTTTGCCGCTTGAGTGGTTTGTATCTCGGACTATTTGGGGAGAGTGTAGTGTCCAGGGCTGGGTTGAGAACATGATTTAGGTCCCCACATATGATCGTCATACCTTGTTTGATATTGGATATTCTGGAGATGATTTTGTGTATGAAGTTCCTCTGATTGGTATTGGGGGCATACACGTTAGCTATTGTATATAAGGCATTATTTATTTTTCCAACCACGATAACATATCTGCTTTCCCTATCTGTGTCTTCGGTTATTAGGTCAAAAGCCACCTTTGTACTTATTAGTATAGAGACACCTTTTGATTTGGTGTCAGACGTGGAGTGGAACTGGTGAGGGTGTGTCTTGGTTAGAATGCTGGGGTGTGTATTGCCCCTGAAGTGTGTTTCCTGGAGACACACTATATCAGCATCTAGTTTCCCTATGTCCCTACTCAAGAGGTGCCTTTGTACTGGGAGGTTAAGTCCTCTCACATTATGGCTGTATAACTTTATGGTGGAATGTATGGGAAAATGTTGCTCTTGCTTAGTTTGTAATGATCTATCATGAGTCTCTGCCTTCCCCAGCTATTTCGAGCTAGGCAGATCTCTATTGCTAGGAACTTCAGGGTGAGTGTAGGGCCTGTCATCCCAGGGTACTTCCCCATTAGTAGGTGCTCACACCCTGCTGAGGTGTAGGGATTAAGTAGCGTTTCTTGGCTTCCCACGAGGCCTTGAGGTAACGGGGTTGGGATGAGGGGAGGGGATCGAACAATACAATTGGGGGTTGGTAAATCCTCTGTCTTGCAGAGTTTTAACATATGTACAATTTTGAACAAAGTTGCCAAGTTTATGGCAAGGTTCCCATAAGGGGATGTGATCCTTGTCACCAGGTAGCACGGCCCTCTAGGGTAAAAACATGCACAGTCCTTGTAATTGCATATACTCAGGCACTTTATTTGCAAATCCACACAGGATACAGCAGAAAATGAAAAACAAAAGTAACAGAAAACCCTATAAACAAACACCTAGCTCGTCTGAGCACTAACTGACATTAGTTCCCTATCTCTCAGGGTTAAACTAAACACAATATTGCACCAACCTTATTAGTTAGCAACACTCTGCTGCCTAGCCTGTTGCATTCCTTTCTGCACTCCCAGTGCTCCAAGCCAGCCTTGCCCTGACTGCTTTGCTTTCTGCACTCCCAGTGCTCCAAGCCAGCCTTGCCCTGACTGCTTTCCTTTCTGCACTCCCAGTGCTCCAAGCCAGTCTTGCCCTGACTGCTTCCTTTCTGCACTCCAAGTGCCTAGTCACCTTGACTATCTGGAGAGAACAGCCTCTCTCTCCTACCTGCTTCCTGGGAGGAAGCCAGCAATCCCTCTCCTTTTCCTGCCTAGCCGGGAGGAGTTTATTCCCACTGCAACAGCTGATTACCTGCAGCTGAGCAGTGGGTTGGAGACAGTCCAAAAAACCCTGGCCTGGATCTAGGTCTCCCCAGAACACCACTAAACTGTGGAGTGGAGCATTGGCCCACCCTTCTCTCCAAATGCTCCACCCCAGGGGCCCATAACTAAACAATGCGTTGTGTTGTGCAACACACAAACTACACATACTCCCCCTGGGGTTAAAAGGCCTATCTGCCTTCACTTTATCACAGGGAACCGTGGGGGTCGGAGCGTATCGCTTCGATCCTGGTTAGGGTGTCGCCGCGAGGGCGGCCCTCATGCTGTGTCTCATAGCTTTCGTTTGCTGGGTTGACCCGTGCCCGGTATAACGTCTGCACATTGTGAACTGCATAAGGTGAGCCAGCCGGTCTCAGTATCAAGCGGCCTTTGGGTCATGGTTGGGTGTTATGCACAGGTTTGCCCCTCCATATCACGCTCATTGGGGCTGTTGTATTTTGCAAGTTATTATTAAAGATTTTTTTTAATTTTTTTTTTCATTTTGTCCCCTTACTGTTAGGTATCAGTACTGTGTGGAAGGGGTCGTGTGTGGGCTGTGATGGGGGTCTGCACGGCCCTTGGGTAAGAATCCCCAGTATGTATGATACCTCTGGACCCCACCCTAGACCCTGACCTTGTGTAGCTAGTCCATTAGCTATATTTACAAACTTTGTACTACGGCATGGGCTAAGTGTGCAATGTAAACGTTAAGATTGCATAACATGGTATACTTGCGGGCAATAATAAAGTTCATAGGAGTGTCGCTTCCAGATGCCTATTTTTGTGCCTTCTTCCAGGCTGAGGGTTGTCTCCCGGTAGGCGCCGGTCTTGGTCTCTCGGCTGGTGGAGTGATGCCCCATTCCTGCAGCTTTTGGAGGCCTTCCTCCGGTGATATGATGGTGGTGAGAGTGCCATTTCGTTGAATGAGAAGTTTGGTCGGATAACCCCATCGATACGCTATGTTGGTGCTGCGTAGGACTTCTGTGATAGTGCTGAAGGACTTCCTTTTCCGTAGTGTCATGGCCGAAATGTCAGCAAAGATCCCAATTTTCTGATATTCCGATGGTGTGTCTTTTCGGACTCTGCTCGCCTTGAGAACTGCCTCTTTGGCGTGGTAGTAGTGCATTTTCAGTATTATGTCCCTCGGTATATCCGCAGGTAAATATGAGGGTTTCGCTACCCTATGTATGCGGTCCAGCAACAGGACATCTTGCGGTAGATCTGGTACCAGCGTGTGGAAAAGCCCCGTGGCGTATGCGGGCAAGTCCGCTGGGCCTATATTTTCAGGCACATTCCGCAGCCTCAAGTTGCTGCGACGCGCGCGGTCTTCCATGTCCGCGATCTTGGTCTCATATTCGTTCAGCCGGTCCCATGCTTCTTCCACTTTGGTGGTTAGGCGGGTATGCGCCTCCATTTGTGCCTCCATCTGATTCTCCAAATCTGAGGTGCGAGAGCCCAGTTTGTGTAAATCCGTGCGGAGGTCAGTGAACGAGCGCTGCAGCGTATCCTGTAGTTTTGCCGCCATATCATCAAACATCGCCTGTAAACTCTCCGTGGTGAGTATAGTGTTGGCGGTTTCGTTGTGCGGACCTTGTGAGCTCTCCTGGTCGGCGCCATCTTGCTGCTCCTCCGGTATAGTGGCTCCTCGTGCGTGCCCTTGTTTGGCACTAAAAAAAAGCATTTTGTCGTTTTTATCAGATGCCCGTTTGCTTTTGTTGTGGGACATAGTGATGGTGTGTCCCAATGTGCAGTTTCTTGTGTTTTCGGGTCGTCAATGCTGCATGAGGGCCTTAATGTTTGCGGAGCTAGACGAACATGCGACCGCTCTCGTTCACGTCCAGGCCACGCCCCCTACGATGTTTAATATTTACACATCATGGCACTTTACTTTTCACATATACTGTACGTATTAAGATAAGCTTGGTCTATGCCATATTTCCTTATGCCATACGGTTTTATCCATTCAGGTTACAGTTACTACTAAAAAACCTATACGGATTGTCAGGTTCAATACCATACTACCAGGTACATACACCTGCTCACGTAGTTATCCATCTCTTACCTTCCCTGGAATAGTAATAGTGTACTGGCAATTAGGGTTCTAGGGCCCAATAGGTATTACCCCCTTTTTTCTCTGCATTATGCTTCGGTTAGTGGTCCCGCGAGGCCAACACCCCGCCTCACACTTGGAGGCATACACCCCTCGGGCCACTCGTGAGCTAGCCGCCTCGCATTGTATCATAGAGAGGGCCTCACCTGTCACTCCCCTTCCTATTTTCTGGTTACTGTCACCGAGAGGCCAACATCCTGCCACAATGTTCGGTGGCCACACAAAATCCCCTCGCGCCAAGCATAGATAGAGCCTCTCAAGCCACTTGGCAACTAGCAGGGCCTCACCAGTCACCAAAAAACACCAAGCCTAATCGTTTCGCCTTACGGCTTAGCTAGCAAGCCAGTACAAGAACCCTGGGTACAAATAATTGCAATCTTTATTGTTATTTAAGTATTTCTACAAAAGATGGTGAAGAATCACCTCTTCCTAGCACCCCGGCTAGAATTGATACACCTTCAAGCAGAGGAGATGTTGCTAGTCCTGCAGCAATCAGATCCTGGACGATCCCACACATTACCACCGACCTAAGGAGGTGACAAATCCCCTACCCTGCTACAGCAAGGAAAGCAGAGTTATTCAAACTCCTCCATACATCAACGGACAACACGGAGGCAGGGGAAGGCCCAGATACATCAACTCAGGTGACACCCAGGCTATGCTAGCCTCACTCATGAACTCATGAGCCAAAAATTTTTTATGACAGACTGGCAATCTCGAGTTGGTCACCACAGCCCTCACAAGGCTGGGCCTCACGTTACTGTACAACCAGCACCAACCGAAACTCGGTTACCTGGTACAATCAATTCTTATGACACACAAGATGTTAACCCTGCACGTATGATCCCAGCACATTGGGGAAGCAAGGCATATATATGTATGATGATGTATCTGTGATGGTCAGATTCAGGGATTCCAGGTAAATCGGGAACTGACCATCTCTTGGATGGGTTGGTATTTGGAATATGTAGAGATGTTTATTTGTGCAGGTACCCATACAGAAGGGATTCTGTCCCAAACAAATGGACGAGCACTCTCAGGCTCCAGGTACCAGCACCTCTGAACTACCAGAGACCATTGATATGAGTAGTTGCATTGCATATAGACTGTTGCATATATGTTCAAATGGTTCAGGGCACATGACAAACCATGTGGCCCAATACAACTTACAAATAACGTACTCACCATCTGTACACACCAATGCATTTTCAACACTACTGACTCATCACCCTTCCAGACTTGTAGTAGATTTACTAAAGCTCTGGAGCTTCAAAGGACTCCCATACAGGTATCATAAACACACCTTCAGGGAATATAGCATGCCCTCACTTACAGTCAGCACAACAAAACCATTGGCTGAAAACACACTCATAGCCAAGATTTGCAGAGGGGTCTTCCAATCTCCACCATTTACAGCATGGCACCAAACACAAACACATTGGTATTGTCACAAGGAATCTTCCCTTAAACAAAGACTAACCATAGACTTATTGACACCACACACCTCCGCTACCCCAAGTCTCAACTCCCTCATACCCTCAGAGGATTTTTCTTACTATACAACACCATTGATCTACCTTTACAGCTATCACTCAAGCATGGGTTAAAGCTTGGTTAAGTAAGACCAATATCATCAACGCAGTAAACAGCTACCATCTACCCTACACACTGGCACTTACATGGCATAAATTGGGCAATCCTTTCCCTGCTCAACTTTCGAGCTACAGATTAACCTACTATCGATATTCGCAGATACTCTGTGCTGGTTATGATAACATATCCAGAGGCATTACAGTCATACACTATCTAGAAGACTTCTTGTTGCTCAAAGAAAGCATATTTTTCACTAGAAGCCTCATGGCAGCTTAGTCTGGTTGACCACTTGGGCGTCCCAGTACCCCATAAGAAACAGAAGGCGCAGACACTATCATCACATTACTGAGCATATGACTTGAGTCGGCATCCATACACGCAAGTTACCACAAGACAAATAGGGAACATTCTCAACTAAATCAATCACTACCTCCTGCTTAGTACTTACAACTACAAGGAACTACAATCCCTACCAGGTTCCTTAATTTTGCCATGCCAATCATACCACAAGACCACGCTTTCACATCCAGAGTACTTTCCCCTTTTTTCCACACTTCCAACATGACGATCAGAGGAGGTGCCTAGACACCTCAGCAACAGCAGACCTGCACATGGGGGGGGGATTTCTTAACCACTTGGCATGGTAAAAGCATGTTCCTTCCAGGATTGTCTGACACTTCTCCAACCAGATGGTCAGACGCAGCGTATACCACGGGTTTGGCAGCGATCTACCGGGAACAATTGCTTTGGGGCTGTTGGCCATGGCATCCAGGTTTGGAAATTTTTCCATCACTTCAGCCCCTTTGGGAGATCTACCCCATTGTAGCAGCTGCTGTGGCATGGGGTAAATCATGGTCAGGGTCATCAATCCGTTGTTACTCAGACAACTAAGCACATATCATATCATCAACAAACGCCACTACTCATCCATAAGTTCATGATGTTTCTGGGGAACTCACTTGGTTGGCCACTTATCACATTTCACTTTCATGTACCAGACGGGGGTATACATCCCTGCCGACAACTGTCTCATTTGTATTCCAGGCATGTTCATCATACGCTTCCTACAGCCGCCCATACAGTCACGCCCACTCTTTCGTTCCAGAGACAAAATCATGGATTAGACATACTCATGCAGAATAGCATGCACTATCCCACCTAGCACTTTCGTCCCATACTTGTAGAACGCATAACACAGCTTTTCACCTGGCTTAAAGAATCTCATTGGAACACGACATAGCTCAACCTGTGTCACAAAATTTCTCCTAAGTTTTGCTTATTTTTGCCACCTTAAACTTAAACTATCTCATACACCATTAATTATATATTTTACAGGCATTCAACAACACATGATAACCTATGGCCAAAACTACCATAAACTTCATGCTATCATACCAGAAAAGAATATACTCAGAGGTTTTCAGGAATCCATTCCCCCACGTTCCTCTCAGAGATTACCAATAGCCATCCAACTGTTCATCCTTATCGGACCTATTAGATCTACAACCATTCAATTATACTACCAAGTCGGCCATTACCAGCCATGCACATTGCCTTTTATGCCTTTCTCAGGCCAGAGAATCCACTACCATCACCACCACTCAGACAGATCATTGTCTTCAACGATCCCACGTACGTAAACACATATATCATTACCTATTGGCTCTACCACATTCCGAAATGAGTCAACATGCACCAACAGTAGAGATAACATACTATCCTACCCACAACAAATGGTGCCCACTTTCGGTCCTAGATTCCTACCTTCAAAATCCTTTCAGGAATTAAATACTGTAATGCATTTAAGGAAATGTCTGGTTAATTTGTATATATTTGTTGACTGTATTAAATCTTTGATTATTCATTTTTGCCCTCTTTATTTACAGGCCTACCGTATCGTCGGTATCGGCACACCACAACCGACTTGCTCCCTTTACACTATCCTAAGCTTATGCTGGATCCTTACTCCATATACGGCTATTTTGCCCCTTACACAAGTATTAAGGCAGTTTTGCCTGTATTTGTGGGAGGGGCTTAAATTAATTCACTCCCCTATATAAGGGACACCCCTTACCTGACTCATATCGCTTGAGGTCAGCATCAGAATGACCCTCCCACCCACTCCTCATTTCAACACTTTCTCTTTTCTTTCCATTTACTTTACTTTCTTACTCCTTGGTGGGCCCTCTTTATTTACAGGCCTACCGTATCGTCGGTATCGGCACACCACAACCGACTTGCTCCCTTTACACTATCCTAAGCTTATGCTGGATCCTTACTCCATATACGGCTATTTTGCCCCTTACACAAATATATATATATATTTATTTATTTATTTTGGTGGGGGGGGAAATGTATTCATACTTACCGTAATTTTCTTTTCCTGGCTATTATTCATGGCAGCCTATACTTTTTATATGGGTTAGCTACGCCCCTTATAGCCGATAGGACAGAAAAAACCCACCAAAGACTTAAAAGGAGGTTCCTACGGTCTTCATTCAGTAACATCAAAGAACAAAAAAAAAAGAGAGGGACCAGAATATTTCAAGATGCAACATTTATTTATAAAGTAGTAAACAAACAAGCTTAACGAGAGGCATGAACAGCTTGAAGGACGTTACGTCCGAACTGTGCCTCATTAGCAGATCTAACATCCAGGTTGTAATGTCTGATGAATGTATTCAGAGAAGACCAATTGCCAGCTTTGCAAATCGAGTCTGAAGAAACATTTGCCACAGTAGCCCATGATACTGCCACAGCACGTGTGGAATGTGCCCTAACACCTTTAGGTACTGTTAGGGATTGGAATTTGTATGCCTTCGAAATAGCTGTTATCACCCACTGTCTTAATTTGGAGGTAGAAGTAGCTTCACCCCTTCTGTGACCAACTGGTAATATGAAGAGTCTGGGGGATTTTCTGAAGGAACTTGTTCTCTCAATATAAATAGAGAGAGCTCTCACCATGTCGAGCGTATGCCACTGCTCCTCCTCAGGTGATGTAGGAAATGGATAAAATGAAGGCAGAATGATCTCTTGGTTCAGGTGGAAATTGGAAACCAACTTAGGCAAAAATTCCGGTACTGGTCAGAGAACCACCTCGTCTTGCTGAAAGCTATTAAAAGGTGGATCACAGGACAATGCTTTGAGCTCACACATCCTCCTAGCTGAGGAGACTGCTACCAACAATAGCACCTTCTGCGTAAGCAGTGTCAAGGAAGCTTGAACCAGAGGCTTGAATGGAGGCTTGGTTAAGGCTTGCAACACCAATGGAAGATCCCATGTCGGCATAAAGGCTTTCAGAGGAGGTCGCATTTTACTGAAAGCCCTCATTAATCTGATAGCCAAGTAGCTCCTTCCTGGAGCTACTGCTCACCGAGACAGGAGACGTATTTGTAATCTTTGTAATATTGTGAAGCAAGCAAAGCAGGAAGGGGAATTGGATGTACTTGTCCATCTTGGGACAAATGATTCGGCTTGTAATGAAGTTTCTGAGGTAAATGAAGTGTTTTGTGTTTTTGCCAAAGCTATACGGCAGGTTGTGTCCACACTGTCATTCTCTGAAGTTCTGCCTGTGCATAACATTCAAAATGACAGGCGGATGCGTATTAGGGACTTTAACATGTGGCTTGGTGAATGGTTTCGGGAGCAAGGATTTGGCTTTGTTTCTCATGTAGCTCTATTTTGAATAGAAATAAACTGTACAAAAAAGATGGTTTGCATCTTTCTCGAAAGGGAACAAATGTTCTCAGCGAGCAGTTCAGAGGTTTTGCTGGGAAGTATTTAAACTAGGAGGGTGGGACAAAAGGGTGATGAAACATCAGTCCAATTGCTCCCCAAAACAAGGACACAAAGTAACTGTAGCGAGTGTGTTAAATTAGAAGCTTAGAATCATGTCTACAAATGCTCGCAGTTTAGGGAATAAGATCTATGAACTTGTGGCAATAATGACAACTGTGAATGTAGATTTAGTGGCTGTTACTGAGACATGGTATAATGAGAAAAATGACTGAGATATAGCAATACCAGGGTACTCTTTATATAGAAAAGACAGAGAAGGCAGGAAAGGGGGAGGGGGTGGCCCTCTATGTGAAGGATAGCATAAAAGCTAACCTTATAAAATTTAGTGACGCGAACAGAGTCCACTTGGGTTACGTTAGAATTTGGAAATCACACAGTAACTCGTGTAGGTGTGATTTACAGGCCCCCGGACAAATAGAAGAGTTAAATAATCTACTAGTTGAGGAAATAGCTAAAATGACAATGAAGGGGAACGTTATCATCATGGGTGACTTTAATCTTCCGGATGTCAACTGGAAAACCAAAACAGCTGCTTGTGCCAGGATGTCACGTATTCATCCGCTTATACAAATGTGGTTAAAGACATTTACTGTCCACACAGGAAAAGTTGTGCCGAGCAGCAACCTAATCCACAGAAGGTTTAATGCTGAGCAGTAATTGTGCAAATGAAACCTGGTCTCATGTATTCATCCGCTTATAGAAAAGTGGTTAATGACATTTACTGTCCACACAGGAAAAGTTGTGCCGAGCAGCAACCTAATCCACAGAAGGGTTAATGCTGAGCAGCAATTATGCAAATGAAACCTGGTAACTGACTTTGGGGTCAAAGGCCGGTTACAGCCTATCAGAAAGAAAGGAGGGGTATTTAGGCCCAGTTCTCAGCCTGCTCAGTGCCCTGTCGTGGTTTCCCTTGTGGTTGTCCGAGAGCGCGTTCCTGTTTATAGTTTTCTACCTGGTTTTTGACTTTGGCTTTGTTTATTGACTTCTCTATATTCTGGTATCCTGACTCCTGGCTTTCCTCATCGCTGTGTCCCTTTCTGTGTTCCCTGACCTCGGCTAGTATTTTTGACTATTCTTTGTACGTTAAATCCGGCCATTCTAAGGACCGGTAATACGTTACTTATTTGTCATCTGTGCTGTACAGTTCTACGTGCTGGATCAAACAGTAATCCTGACACAGGAGCACACATATTCTAAACTCCCTACTGGGATTGTCTCTAAAACAAGTCATTGAGAAACCAACTCGTAAGGAGGCCCTACTAGATTTAGTGTTAACAAATGGAGATTTAATATCAGATATTACT